CACACACAAAAAACCACAAACACTACAGAAGCACACTTAAATGGTAACTAACTGGACACTAACGCACACAAAAAAACATGTAATTATTGCACAACTACGCATACACACATAACATCCACAACCAGAATTAGTCTTGATTAAACAGACGCATCTACCCAGATAAATAATGTGTGGACAGACTGAAAATCCTGACTTACACGCCCACAAACACCAACACACACACCCCTGCCACACCACAAATTCCCTTTAGGCTGATAAATAGTGGAGAATGTTGAAATGCCATTTAAACGCCCATCTTTAAGTTTTAATGACACACAAGTGTACAACACAGATAGAGTTACTACGTTAACAGCAACCAATGTACAGTCCAACAGCTGTCTTGGTGTGTGTGTGTGTGTGTGAGCGTGTAGAAGGGCATCTGTCTCTAAAGCCCGTTGATTGCAGCGGCTGAAACATTTAGAGTAAATGCAGAATTGGTTTCCGCATGCTCACAATGTCCATGAACGGTGTGTTTCACAGATGGCTATATTCTGTTCTAGTTGTTCTTTATAGTGGCTCGGAGGTCAGACGCAGGAATGCAAAAATATAATAAATGGTCAAAGCAAAGGGTTTAAAACTCTATTACATCAGGCAACCTGAGGCATTGATTGGTACAAACATTTTCTTTTAAAGAGAGATAATGAAACAGGCAAACTTGATTGATGGCAAAACAAATGTATCAAATTGCGGTCGCTGTGACCTTGTGATTAGAAAAATAGTCTTGTCACCAAAGACACTCAGCACTAAGGTCCAAAAAGTTAAGGTAAAAAAAAATATATCAACATATTAAACATAAGCTATGCTAATTACTATGGAAAAGTACAAGTTTGGTCATTTAAAGTTTAGCCTATTGTTTTCCACCGAACACACACAATTACCTGTATAGGTGTATCTGTTGGCATCTCTGCTGTACACTACCTCCTCATGAGATGGACACAGGTTCTCAGTGTGTGTGTGACTGTATGCCTCTGCCATTTTGTATGTGTTATCACTTCTGTTTGTATTTGTAGACAGGCCCCTAGTGAGAGTTTCATGAGTGGTGTTGAGGGAAGGTGAGTATGTTGTGGAGGGTTTATCAGGGTGTTTGTGCGCAGACAGGACCCATGTGCAGGCGTTCGTAGATGGATCGAGGTCACACGAGCCACAGTAAGCTGTAGAAGCTGCAGCTACAGGACACACGGCGCCCTGCAAACACTGGTGCTGCACAGAGGTGGAAAGGAGAGACAGTTAAAGATGGAGAGAAAAAATGTAACTATGAGGTTAAAAATCTTAATTTTCTGTAAGTGATTTGTTGACATGATTGCACTGCACACTGTCACAACTACCACAGAAACTCATCTTATAGAAGTTTACTATTATCTTTTACTAATTCTGAAGTGTTTCTCTCCGTCTCTGACACACAATACATGCAATACGTGTAGCTATGTTCGTGCTTGTGTGTGGTAAGCATGGTCCTTAATGACATCATTAGAGCTAATGAGAGTTCCTACCCTTTGTCCCTGTGTGTGTGTGTGCCTCTGTTTGTGTATGTGTGTATGCGCGTGCCTGTTTCATGCTGACTTAGGAACACACAAACACCACATGACCCCAGTTGATAAATGGAAAATGGCTCAATCCCCAACTCCTGATGTGACAATGAGTTTGGGAGAGGGAGAAGGAAGGAGAGAGAGAGAGAGAGAGAGAGAGAGAGAGAGAGAGAGAGAGAGAGAGAGAAATTCTATCTACCAATATTGCTAGAAGATGACCTGCTTTTGAAACACTTCTAGTAGATATTTAATCCACAGAGAAAATGTAAAGGACATATGGCACAACTCTACACATGAAAAATAACATAGAATGTGTCAAACAGCTATTGTATTAAGAACAAATGACGTTTTAAAAAGTGATTGATGATGTGCCTCACATATCATATATGTCTAAGAAAAAACATAAATAAAACAGCATAGGATTTCACAAACTTCGACATTCATTTGCTATAGTGTGTAGAGACATAAACACAGAGACACAAACAGTTGTACACACCACACACATTCTCTCACATACCTGTATCAACAGGCCGGGTGTGGGTTCATCTGCACACACGTGTCGTTGAGGGTCGTAGCCAATCCCATTGCAGCACTCCTCCTCCTGATGTATGACCTTTGACCCACAGCACTGCAGTGTCACTGTGGCATTGCCAGCAGGGTGCATGGTGGGATATCCGTCATTACTCACACAGCACAGAGAGGTTGAAGAGTTTATATACTCCTGACCACAGCAGACAAAACCTAAGGATAAGAAAACATGCATCACGCTATTGTTCTGATCGTACTGTAGCAGGAAATTATCTTTTATGGAACACCTTCCACTTCTCATTTACAGACTACACAAGACGAGTGTGTCTTTTAATTCTCTAATTAATCAGTTTTAAGTTCTGGATATTTAAATTAGCTACAAATGTATTACACAGATTTATATAATTTACATGCTGTGGTTATATTTCTACATTCAACAGTGAAAGCACCATTTTGTGTCTCACTTTGATTGTTTTCATCATCACCTCTTCTTGTCATCCTCTGCTTCGCCATACTCAAATACTACTCATCCTATTAATATTTCCTCCTCTTCCACCTCTCCTCCTACGTCAATCCCTTCCCTTCGCCTCCTCTTGTTTTATGTTCCTCTTCTCTCCATACTGTAAAAAGATCCAGGCCATGCAGTATTGTCTCTCCTCTACACTTCCCAAACTCTCGTTTCGTCTTCTCCTCAACCTCTATTTTCCCGTCTGCACAGAAACAGTATTTACGCTGCTCTAAATATTAGTGTGCATCTTCTCTTATCGACTCTTATCCTCCCTTTCCTCTTCTCCTCCCCTGTACGCCTCTTTTCCTCTCCTGTATTCATCTCTTCGTACAGCAGTAATATTCAGGCTATGCTGTCGAAAGTGTGCAGGGGGAGAGGAAGTGTGTTTTTCTGAGAGCTGCCATCTCTGACAGTGATAGGTGATGTCTTTCTGCTACCACTTCACCTTCAGCAGCAAGGTGACATTTAAAATACATGCTATCACTCCATTTCCCTGTAAATGTTTTGCAGCTGAATATCAAATTTCAAGCCATGTTTCTCCACATTCTCCAGCGCTTCATATTTCAAATTCAAATGATTTGAGTCACTTTGAATGATTGACAAATTTAAACTGTTTAAGTGTCTGTACATTTTAAGTCAAAAGAATTGTTCTTGGTCGAGAAAATATCATTTTCCTCTACAGAAACGCAAGAAGTTATACATTATTCTCGTTAGAAAAGCTGCTAATGAAGTCTATAGGCATATAAAGTCCTTCTTGTTGAGTAACTAAGGTTAGTTATGTTATGTTTTATTAATATACTGACTACATGAACTTATTTCCACCTTCACACAATTGTGATACCCCAAAATAAACATGAGGGTGACACAAAACTGGCAGCAGCTCTTAAAGAGGAGCTACAAAACAAAAAAACAAATGCATATCATACTATGGCAACGGCGTCGTATGTACATGCTGCGGCCGGTAACTCCCATGAATTTCGCCACAGTTTTGTCTTAATTTGTTGTCCTCTCGTGTTAATTACTGAAGCACTTAAGGCATATGGCAACAGTTATCCTGTTCTACACATCACATCTATTGCACTCCTGTCCATCCTGGGAGAGGGATCCCTCCTCTGTTGCTCTCCCTAAGGTTTCGTCCTCTTTTCTCCCCGTTAAAGGGTTTTTTTGGGGGAGTTTTTCCTGTTCCGATGCGAGGGTTCTGGGACAGAGGATGTCAAATGTGTACAGATTGTAAAGCCCTCTGAGGCAAATTTGCAATTTGTGATTTTGGGCTATACAAAAATAAATTGAATATGACCGAATACACTCATCAACATCGAAGAAGGGATTCATTTGTGGGGAGTGCACCTTGAGGCGATCCCCACTTACGCCATTGAAAGCAGGGTCGACCGCCCCAGGAGGAGAGGCAAGATGGAAGCTGAGCTAACCCAGCTAGGACCTGAGGCGATTCCACCACCCAGTCTGCTCCTGGCTTATGTCCGGTGGCAGTACAATTTGCCTAAACCACGTTGGTGACTGTTATGCCCACATTTTTACAGAGACCTGGCTCCATTGTGGCATACCGGATCAAGCTGCACTTGAAGGGCGGACCACGGGACATAACCAGACATGAATATCACACTTTTTTTAATATGGGACCTGGTGCCTTCTCTCCAGTGGCACTCCCATTAACACAAGTTGAGCCAATCCGGTTACTTTGGCGTATTAGCTTAGTTGAGGGGGAGGATTGTCAAGCTTTGGCCATACAATGGATTAGGACTATAATATTGTCCTGCTATGATACCGAGTCAGCAAAGTAACCCCCCACTGTGAGAATGCATTGAAAATACAAATGAGCATGGCATGGCACGACACAGCTCAACTAAAATATCATAACCGGGCTGATGGAAAAAGGACAAATTGTATTTTAATGAGTGTCCAATTGAAAAAAAAAGCTTCTCATTTTGAATCAGACTGAAATGTTATAAGAACCCCTCGGTCTCCCGTGATTATTTAGTTTATTTATAAATAATCTAACTTTCATGAGGTATTTAGCAAATTCATCCTAACAGCCGATGACATACTGATCTGTAGCACTATCTACCCCCAGCTGTGTTGCCCATTTTATTTGACAGCAGACATTAAACACTAAGTCATTGCATTGTACCATGGCCTCGCCCTTTAATGGGGCTGCAGCTAGTTGTGGAGTGATAAATAACTTATTGTTTAACAACCCAATCAGCGCTCACTCTTTGCGCACATGAAAAGCTGTTCATTTAGGCAATCATTTCACTTAAAGGCCAGAAGTGGAGGATGGCACATATTTTCTCCTGTGCTGTTGCAGTGCATTATATCCTCACCGCATCCATCACAGGAAAGAAACATGTGACAGGAAAATGCATGCGTATGTATGTGTGTGATTGTGTGACATAAAGGCAGTCTGACGGCTAGTAACTCACTTAGCAGCGGCAGCTGTTGCAGAGTGGGGGCTTGGTGGCCAATTCCCCCAGCGCCTTACTTCAGCTTCAATGACGCGCAAATAAACAGCTCAACACTTTTCCAAAATAGCTTCCTTCCACTCATCCCTCGTCCTCTCGGCATCTTCACCTCTACTCCTCCCTCCCATCCGGACGCCAGGCCCTCTGTGGCTCACAATTTTTACTTTATTTGTCTCACTTCCATTTACTCCCAAGCAGTCAGACTGTCTTTCCATGTATCGTTCGACATGGCTCTGTTCAAAAACACTACATATCTTGATTCTGCCTTTCGCTTCTTCTGACTCTAGGAAATGGCAACTTTATCACCTGTGACCTGAAGTTCAAGAGTTATCTCCTGCCGCTTCTCCGCATCAATCTGTTCTTTCTCTGATCATTCTTTTTTAGCCGCATCCCTTACTTCCACCTATATCTCCCAATCTTCAAAACGGTCTGTCTTCCCTCTGTAGTCCATGTTCTACCTTCTTTTACTTCATCCCTTTTCTATCCCCAATGTTTTAATTTAACTATTTTTCCCATCATACTATTAATCTGCCCTTCTTTCTGTTCCAACATTTCTACTTGTTCCTCTTTCCCCCTATTTTCTTCCCATCATCTTTACATGTTCTTCATTTCCTCCTCCTCCTCCTCCTCCTCTTTCCCCTCCACTATTGCTCTCTCTATCTCTGCCTCCATTCAGTTTATAGGTCTACATTAGCTTGTTTACTGCTCTGCAGCTAAACTTCACTACTGAATTATCACCCATTCAGCAGAAATCCAATCCCTGTCTTTGTAAGCGTTATCTGTTTGGGTTTGTGTGACATGCTTGTACATTTGTGTTACCGTTTTGAAACACACACCTACTATTTTCTCTTCCTCTCTGTAAGCTGTGTGCGTTTGTGCATGCATATGCATGTGAGTGTATGCGTTGACAACATTCTATCACACACCTCTTGTTTTCTCTCTTGCATTGCAGAACGCTTCAGCCCTAATCTTCAGATTTACGTTGGATTTGCATACATTCGTTAATAGCATCGGGAGCGCCGCGTCAACACAAGGTGCTTAGACAACGAGAATTATTATTAGGGTTTCAGTCATTCCACTTAATGATAAGTCAATATTTAGCCCTGCCAATGAACTACTGATAAAAATGTGTGTTGTGGATTAGAGTTATCCGAGCTCTCTAGGAGACCAAAACCCCTCCACAACTTTAAACAAACCAAACACTTTTAAATACCTGCATATATTACAAGGGGTTTGGCACAAAGTGCAAAGCAAGTGCACACATACTCAGTCTGTGTTCATGCATACAAGCACACACACAGTCACATTGAAGAAGCTTTCATACATCTGGACACTCATACACATTAAGGATCAAGCACATAAAAGCGTTATTTAAGAGCAAGCTTATCGCAGATATACAAAATATATTGGTATCGGGCATATATGCCGGTCAATAAGTTACAAATAATTGCAGACAAGACACGCTAAAGACATGTTTGAAAATGTGTTTTTGATTTGAATTCAATCTGTTGACATGAATATTGGTTGGAGAAAGCTTTACTGTATCTTGCATCTGATAAACAGAAACAAAAAAGTACCTGCAAAATACACATTTATATATGTATTCATACATACAAATGAATGAGTCATCTGTGACAGGCTATTTCAGCGATCAAAGATTCTGAATTGTCATGCTACAGGCTTGTAGAGTACACACTGTAATACACTTTTCATTTAATGTATTATAGTTCAGAATATCATTTTCATAGTTCTGATTTTCAAAAATGTAAATGTATGGGGGTATATTTCCATACACTATATATTGAATGTCAGCTCCACTATTTATGCATTTTTGTTGAGTTATTGTTTATAGTTGATAAACATTTAATTTCCTGCTTTGAAATCCTGCTCAATATCTTGGTGGTCACAATTGTTTGTTATGCATCTGTTAAAAACAACTATATCAGTTCTCATGAAACTCTCAATAAAGTATCAGCCTCAAATATCCAGTGTTGGTTGGGCTCTACACAAACATGCACACACACTCTCTGCACGAGGGAGGGTTTGTGTGTTGAGTGTGTGTGTGTGTGTATGTGCGCGCACTTTGTGCTCCAAAGGGGCCAGACTATATGCCATGTCGAGAGATGAAATCGCAGTAGATTGACTTTCTCACACAGTGCACAGTGTTCCCATGTGGACACACACATGTGGATGTTAGGGCAGCAAGCACACACACACACATATATAAT